AGTCGATCGCCGACTAAACTTGCTCCGATAAGTCCAAGTTCACCCTCCTCCGTAATCAGGTTCACCGAGAGACCGGCCAGCTCTAGGCCACCGCCGCTTGCCGAGCGCGGTTCGGCCAGTCTGAAGAGGTAGTCGACAGCGGAAGTCGGCCTCGCGTCCACCAACTCAGAATGAAGCACGTAGCCAAGACCAACTGAGGAATCTCGGTTGCCGGTCGCCAGTCCTGACCATCCGGCGGCCAGACCGATCGGACAGTCGGAAACGGGGCGTCCAAAGCGGAGACAGTCACAGTCACGACTTGACATCATCTGTTGACCGCACCAGTAGTCAAGATCCCCTCTCGAGGCGGCAATCTCGCGCCAACGCGCTTGCTTGGCCAGTTGGCCGTACAAATGAGCCATCCAACTGGACGGTGAGTTGAGCCTTAACAGAACTGCTAATGTCGCCATGGTGACGGCTTGATTTGCGATCCCGGGGCGGATGAGTAAGAGTCCGGCGAGTCGAGAACGCAACTCAGTCAACTCCATGCCTTCGGGTGGCCGGAGGCTGGCTAATGCGTGTATGGCGAGGGCTCGAATGGCCATTGGTACCGGTTTGAGAGGTGCAGTGGTTTTGGAAGTGCGACTGGCCAGTCGAAATAGTGGCCGCCAGAGCTCGGTGGCGCGGAGTAAGCGAGCCGCCGTTATGCCGACCAGCAGACGTTGCCTTCGTGTTGAGGCCTCTTCATCAGCGGCCAATGCGCCGGTCTCGGTGTCGAGCAGATGCGTCAACAATTTCACCATTCGCTCTTGTAGACTGGGACTTGCTTCACTCGCCCCACTCGACTGCTCAGTGCTGGTCGGTCCCAACTTCGAGACCAAGGCAGACAGACTCATGATACAGGAGTGTCGCAATTCAGCCGATCCAAACGTCTTGCAAGTGGTGATCAGTGACTGGATGAAGTCGACCCGTGGACTGGAGACAGCGCCGAACGCCGGCAACAGCCATTCGAGCAGAATAGACCTTGCGGCGATCTGGTCTTGGCTCAATTGACTCACGTCGTCTGTTGCCATGCCCTCAGGACCTAGCTCTTCGAGGAGGCCGTCAAGACGCCAGAGTAGCACTTGTAGGCAACCCGGAGTTCCACAGGCCACGAGGACCTCGGCTAGCTGGTCGAGCCACGTGTCCAAATGGCGATTCAGCCGAACCGGAGTAGCATAAGACGAACTTTTGTCATCAATCTTGTCGGTTTTACTCGGGCCTGGGCGTGGATTGGCCAGTCCTGTCACCTTGGCGATCAAAAGTGCT